TAAGGAACTTTAATAAAAATAAATATATAATGAGATCATTATGGGCACAGCCATTTGTTTTTGTTTAAAAAAATTATGATGTCAACATTTTTTAGCTTTGAGTGATGCTCTCCGATCGGAGAGTAAATATCCAGCTTTGCTGAAAACTCGTTCAGGCTCTGTTGACGTTGCTGGAGTGCACAAATAGCGTAGAGCACATTGTGTTAAGACTTTCATATCAGTATTTGTCTACAAAACATAGAACAGAAATTATTAAAAGCTAAATTCCCATAGACGGCCATTGTTACCTTCCAATATTCTAATGGATCAAAATCATGTGGCAAATTTTGATTTTCGAAATATTGACGAAGCATTATAATGGCATCAGCTCTTGTGGATTTACGTTTACCAGCGACCTTGTCATTTAAGAACATAAAGAGCGGTGCAATTTTCGGCTGTTGTGTTGACGATTCTGGTGATGTTACCGTATGTGTCGGCAAATCAGTAACCACGGGACTCAAAGCTTTAAGCATGTTACAAAGGTCATTTTCCAAAGCTAAAGCTGCCTGTTCCGCAATGATATGGTTCCTGAACCCTTCCTTTTTGAACCGAGGGTCAAGCAATGTACTCATTTTGGGTGTGGTTCGATTTTCATAGGGGACAAGCCGTATTTGCAAACGTTTAATCAAAATGTTGAATATGGCAAGCCCTTCATTTGTTTTTAGTTTGTTGTGCGTTTCATTTAGAGTTTGAAAGATACCACATATGATAGGAATGATTAACGAAATTGTGACAGAGTTACTTGCAGATACTTGAATGGTCGCGTCATCAAATGGTGCCAATAATTCAACTAATTCTTCTAGTAGCTCTATTTCGTCAGCAGATAAAGTCTGGGGTGCTTTTGGGGTTCTTAAAATTACAGAGGAAATTATATCCTTAGTTTGCAAAATTCGCTTTATCATGCGATATGCACTGTTCCAGCGTGTCGGACATTCTTGCAATAAATTATAAACTTTTCCTGTTCCTTGTGCATTTTTAAATTTGGCGTAAGCGATCGAGCTACTTTTGAAGTAGGTCACAACCTTTTTGCATTTCGTTATCACATTTTTGACTTTTTCAAAAGCTAACACATCTTGCACAACCAAATTTAATGTGTGAGCAAAGCACGGAAGATGTCGTTTTTTGCAACAATTCGCATGCTTTAATCATGGATGACGCATTGTCGGTGATAACATTCGAAACTTTATCTAAAACGCCCCACTCCGTCAGTACAATTCGCAAGGACTCGGCAATATTGGCAGCCGAATGATTAGTACTCTCCAAAAGATTGTAGGTAGACAATACTGCGCTTCTTAAGCTACAATTTTCAATGAAGTGACAGGTTACGGTTAAGTAACTCTCGTTTGCCCGAGAGGTCCATGCATCCGTAGAAATAGCACAAGTATTTACTTTCATAAGAATATTTTTAAGATTTGCTTTTGATTGATCATATAATTCGTGGCACATTACATTCTGCAACGTGGTTCTGCTAGGCATCACATAGCGCGGATCTAGTAACTTGACGAAAGCGGAAAAAGCCTCGTCTTCTACGATTCGGAAAGGCTGGTAATCTATGGCAATCATTTTCATTAGTGCACTGTCAAGTGCTTTTTTACGAGCCGAATGCGAGTCATACGTTTCTGATGCATTGAAAAAATGAAGTTATTTTATTTGGTTTCGACATTCTGTTGTAACCAGGATGTGTGCGTTTTAAATGGTCCAACAAATTGGAGGTATTGCCGCTGGTTTTGTATACTTTTTCACAAGACAAACATTTTGCACGCGTTTTATCCTTGGATCGCTGTAAATAAGTCCACACTTCTGAAATTGCATTTCGGCTTCGTTTGCACACTACGCTCTCACATTCGCTGCCTGATTCATTTGGTTCGCTGTTTTCATGAACCGTTGCTGCAAATATTAATGTTTTCGTTCAGTATTGATAGATATAACTACACGTATATATATTTTATAATGCTTACCACTTTCTTGAGACATTTTAATTTATTTACAACTCATTCAACGCCACAGCCTCGCGCCTTTTTATTTGACAAACTTGTTAAATTCAAATAAAAGAAGTGCAAAATTAGAAAAAACTATCGATTGTCGCAAGTAAATTCGATGGTTTTGCAACTATCGATAGTATTAACCTAAAAACGACACCATCGATAATGTCGATAGTGTAAATTTAAGACACACTATCGATACTATCGATAGTGCCATCGATAGTTTTGCAGCTCTATTGGGGCGCAATATCTCGCATATGCCAAATGCAATGACACGTACTTGTATGATAGCCCAGAAATAGAATTTCTAACTGAACTTAATAAATATAAGCTTCTACAGGCTGGACATGTTTGCACTAGACCCTAGTCACTCGTCTATTGGTACAGAGTTCATCCATTCTGTTTCGGCAATATCGTGACTCCATCTTGTCGAATCCACATATTTTCCAGCTCAAAATCCGAATTTCAAGAATAATGGAAAAAGAAACAAAGTCTAAGCGGTAGAGGTTATGGCAGCTATTTCGAAGATCACCAAATCTCCTCATCAGACTTCTTTTAATTACTTTAGTTCCACTAATCGTGCCCCTCGCAGAAAATAATCGAAAAAATTATTTAATATCCGTTACACTTTTATCTAAAAATCCCAAATACAAAGTAACTACAAACGCCTCTTAACCTTCTTTCGAAATAAAAACCAAAAAGCGTCCAAATCGGCACTGTATACACCTCCGTTACGGAATACTGTGAATTAGAGTTAGGTTTTCATATTTATGAGCGGTTGAATTCAGTGAGTTGTAACTGCAACTGTTGCTTCGCAAATATGCCACAAATTTCATAAATTGTACCAGCAATTTATTTTTTCATACAAATCTACTCATTGCATTTTCTGTGGGCTTGTGCAACTTTGCACAGTGGTTAAGTTTTATAAAGTATTTGATCAAAATATACTTGAACGCTGAGTAAAATAAGAACAGGTACTTACTACGGCTAATAAGTGTTTTAGTATGCATTAAATCAAAAAGTGTAGGCAACCGTTGCATTTTTGAGTTTTACAAGATATTTTTTTAAATACTATGTTTGTAGAGGAGCCGCTCAAATTTACCATTATATGCACCTACATATATAAGTATGGAGTTTATAACGGGTGATTTTTTAAGAGCTTGATACCTTTTTTTTTAAAAAAAACGCATAAAATTTGCAAAATCTCATCGGTTCTTTATTTGA